GTCCTAAAGGTTATTTTCACTCACACAGAGGTCTCAGACAAGGTGATCCTTTATCTCCCTTTCTATTCATCATTGTCATGGAAGGTTTGAACAACATGATCAAAACGGCTAAAGTCAGTGGATGGATTAAAGGCTTTGAGGTAAACAGGAATGGGGCTAACAATCTAGAGATCACACATCTCCAATATGCTGATGATACTCTAGTCTTCTGTGATGCTGAAAAAGACCAACTTAGATTCTTAAGGATAATTTTGGTTTTATTTGAGGGAGTATCAGGATTACACATTAACTGGAGAAAAAACAATATTTTTCCCATTAATGAAGTTAACAACATGGGGCAACTGACACAGATAATGGGAGGAGAAGTTGGGTCCCTACCAACTGTTTACCTTGGGATGCCTCTTGGTGCAAGATCCAAATCAAAAGAAATCTGGAATTCAGTCATAGAAAAGTGCGAGAAGAAGTTGTCAAGATGGAAATCGCAATATCTATCATTGGGGGGTAGGCTAGTTCTAATCAACTCAGTATTAGACTCTCTACCTACTTACATGATGTCTTTGTTCCCAATTCCAGCAGGTATTCTACAGAGATTGGACAAACTTCGAAGATCATTCCTTTGGCAAGACAATAAGGAGAAAAAGGTCTTCCATTTAGTCAAATGGAAGACACTAACAATGGATAAAAAACAAGGTGGATTGGGGATAAGGAATTTGAAGAACCAAAGCAAGGCTCTTAGAATTAAATGGTTATGGAAGTACTCTAAAGAACCCCAATCTTTATGGGGCAAAGTGATCAAAGCAAAGTATGGTGAAGAAAACAACTGGGTGTCAAAAAAAGTCAGTACATCATATGGAGTAAGTGTGTGGAAATCCATCAGAGAACTTTGGCCTATAATGGAGAATCACTCCTCCATAAGAGTGAACAACGGAAGGAACACATCATTTTGGAATGATAATTGGTTACGAATTGGAAGCTTAAAGGAAAGATACCCAGATATGTTCGGTTTAGCACAAAACCAGCATAGGACAGTAGCTGATATGAGGAGTCGTCAAGGATGGGAAATAGCTATAAGAAGACAGCTGAATGACTGAGAGATAACAAGATTAGCTGACCTTTACAAAGAGCTGGAGGCACTTACAGGATTATAGGAAGGGTTGGATTCAATATGGTGGAAGAGGCACAACAGAGGGGTTTTCCGAGTGAAGAATGCATACAAGATTTTGAATCATAATAATCAACAGGTAGACACATGGCCTTGGAAACATATATGGAAAACAAAGATTCCATACAAGGTAGCTTGCTTCACATGGCTACTAGCGAAGGAGGCGGTCTTAACCCAGGATAATCTCATAAAAAGGGGAATTTCTCTGTGTTCAAGATGTTTTCTGTGTGGGGAAAATGCAGAAACTGTCAACCATTTGTTTCTTCATTGCAAGATTACAGATCAACTATGGAAAATCTTTATTAGTCTTAAGGGTATTTCATGGTCAATGCCATACATGATTAAAGATGTCCTTTATAGCTGGGAAGAAGCTGGAGCTGAAGCAACTAGCAGAGATAGATGGAGGACTGTTCCGGCTTGTATTTGGTGGACAGTCTGGAGGGAAAGGAACATTAGATGTTTTGAAGACAGAAGCAATCCTGTGCAGAAGATCAAACTCAATTGTATTCTTCTTTTTTGTTTTTGGTGCAAACAGATGTACACAGAAGATACATTGACAATCATAGACATACTAGGATCTTGCTAGGTCCCAAATTAGAACATCTACAAATTCTCTCAATGTAAATTTGGTTTTCAGTGCAACCTATGTACTGATATTTATAATATTTACAATAGTTACCAATTCAAAAAAAAAAACTTGAACATTTTAAACCTGAAAAGACGATAGCCTCCATGACCAGTGCTTGCTGTGCTGGCATATTTTCTAGTCTTTCTTCCACTTCTCAAATTGTTTCCCGAATGAAATAAGTCAGAAAAATGAAACCAAGAGGTGATTACATAGAGTACTGTAATCGAGATATAATAAAATCTTTTTTCTGTTTAAGCAAACACTGGTGCAATTTCTTTTGTAATTTGCCTTTGATGTGGTGCCTGAATTAAGTAGCTTTGTCAATTGCAGACTTGCAGTTACTATATTAAAAACGGGAGTAACTGCTAAAAAAATCACTGGATTATCATATCCTTTGTCCTTTCTACTTGTGTTATGATACAAAATGAGGTTAAGGTTCAAGAGAAGGAGACATTATTGACTTGCATTTAAAGGAATCTTAGGCTTTTGATGAAATATTCAACCTTCAATGCATTAAATATCTCTCTTTAGTTTAGAATAGTTGGATATTGACATGGTTTTGAAGGTCGAAAAGAGTATTCTTTTCTCCATTTTCTGAAATGTCATATCCAGTGTTGATTATGATTAAGGCAAATTGCAATTGCCTAACATGTTTTGCAAAGTTTGACTGCATTAGTGGGGGATGTTTGTAAATTTATATCACCTAACTTTCTTATCCTGTTCTTGGAGGCTGTAAGATCAGGACAAAGTCTCTCTTTATGCGCAGTTCCCATCAGATAACAATAACATTGATATTCCTTTCTCCTTCTTGAGTCCCATCCTATTCCACAATCAAACATAGAATGCTTTTGAGATCTCCTCATAATAGTAACTGTTGCTGCTATTTTCAGAAGAATTCAGCTGAACATAAAAGTAATAGTTGCGTCTAATTTATCTAGAAATAGAAGAACTAAGTAGCTATATTACAAACATATAAATGAAGACAGTGTCTTTTCATACAAAGAAAAATTTAGCATTTTTTTCATTCTTATAGAGTAAGGACAGTTAAAAACAGTAATGCATAACAATGAACAAAGAAATTTTGATCTCATTTCATAAACTGTGTTTTAGCTTATTTAAAACACTTGTAATTATCCATATTACACAAAACTTGAAAATAATGAAAAGTTCCGTTAAGATATAACCAAGCACCTTATACATGATAAGATAATGAGGATGCAAGAAAGATAAGTCGGAAAATGCACACAAAAGTAATGACTCACCAAAAAGGTAGTCTCAGTGAAAGATTGAAAGTAACTGTAAAAAGAATACACTAGAATGATTACTTGCCTTTCTAGCATCTTTTAAACCATTTTTGTGCATTTTCCATAAGAAAAAACTCTAACGCTATCAATTTTCTGATCTGCAATAAAGTTAAAGAATTTTATTTTAAGATTAACATATTATAAGGAAGCGTGCAGCAACCTCATCATATATTGTTATTAAGAATTATTTATTAATTATTTTTATTTACACTAGATTATTATACTTCAAGATTACTGTATATTAGTTAAACATTACTTTCCCTTAAAAAATCTTTATTCAGCAAACTTTTCTTGCATAGAAATGATAAATCTTTTCTGTTCGTAATTTTTCATTATGATTGCACTTGTATATGAAGTAGTTTATTAGAAGTGAATCAAGCATTCGATAGAATCTCTACCTTAAAGACGTACCTGTGGTTTTTCCAGGGCCGACTGTATGCCATATGAAGTAGTTTATTAGAAGTGAGTCAAGCATTCGATAGAATCTCTACCTTAAAGATGTACCTGTGGTTTTTCCAGGGCCGACTGTATGCTAACATGTTTAGTGATTTCTGGAGGCTTTATCGATACTAGCTGATAGACCTACTATGTGCGGAACACATAATGTAGGTCATAGAGTAGAAAACCCATATAAGTAAAAGCAAGCTTATATTAGCAGCTAGGGCCTATATCAAAACCAAAGAACATGAAGGACATAAGCTAGTTGTAGTGTTTGCATTTTGAGCATCTCTTTCTAAGTGTCAAGAAGTCACTGCTTGTTGATCTTTTACTACAGTGCTGGAGGCTAACCCTTGGAGAGAAACACCTAAACCTGTATACGTGCTGACCCAGAGGGAGAATCAGTTGTGTACAATGAAGACCCGGAAAAACCAAAGGTCTGTTTCTTACTTTTAGTTTAAGCTAGAATTTTAATTACCTTTTCTTAATTAGATTCTTTTCATCATGCAGTGAAGTTGAAAGAGAGCTTGGGATGTTGTTCTCGAAAGGTGGAAAATGGAAAAACCGTGCAAAGCAGCCAGAAGCTGACACAAGATTTCAGATGCTTGTTGAGGATATCAGAGAGGGAGTACTTGTAAGTATTTGTGTTGATGCCTCTTTCAGTTTTCCATGACACTCTAAGTTTTCTTACATATTTTATGATATCTAGAGTATGGAAGATCTTGAAGGATCCGTAACCCTTCAGGAAAAGGTTTAAGTTAGTAATACATATTCTTAAAGCAAAGAAGAATTGTCGTACATTGAAGCATCACTATGTGTACAAAAATTACATCCTTAAAGTATGATGCCTGAGACTATTCCCAAACATGAGCTTTACTAAGATTGTTTAGAAAAAAAGTATTTATCTGCCCATAGTGTTCAAGAAATGACATTTTAGTAGAGCTTAAAATTAGCTGATTGTTGGGTGATTAGACATCCTCCTACATCTGCTGACCTTTGATTGATGGTTGAGAAAGTTCTCTTTCTGTAAATGGTCCAGATGCAATTCCATATATCACTTGGAGGATCAAAATTGATAGAGAGAGAAATTTAGGAAGGGAAAGAATAAAATTGAAAAGTTATGGTCTTAAGCATATTGGTGTCATTACGTGAGGTCTTTAATTTCACTTGTATGAAGTTGTTGACAGTATGCCACATGAAATGATTCAGATATATTCTGGAAGCTACACTTTTACAGGTCTAGCATCACACTTTCTGTGCTGTCTTTAAGTGAATATGCAACAGCTGATCATTCTATTTAACTTAAGGAAAAATCAGTTCTATTTTTCAATTATTTATGTGTGTGTATCGTATATCTTCTTGTGAAAGGAGGAGTGTATAGATAATGTAACAACCTCTCAGAGGCTAAAGCTCTATATATGCCTGCAACTCTGATGACTAGAATGCCAATATTTGGCATCCCCTTAAACCTAAATAAAAAGGAAGAAAAAAAATGATGAAAACGGGAGGTCATAATTGGATGAGGGCTCTTTTATGAAAGAGCGCATTTTAGATTGTGATGGTAGAAGGTTGGAGCACTGTGAGCTTTAGATGAAAATACTTATGCTTCTAATTTTCTAGACTGCAAGTACATTTCTCTTTGGAAATTTTTACTGAAGTTAAATTGCTGAATTGTTTGAAACTTTTGAAAGAGATGGAATGGAGTTTAATTTGTCAAAGTGTTGGTCTGGTGATTGAATATGGAAAGAGGACAGTGTCATGTTGGTGGAATATGCATTTATTTATGTAGTCGTGTTATTGCTTTCCACTTTCCCCAGGGCTCATTCGATCCCAATGGAGGGCAGCTCGTATATCGTTTATAGAATGCCTAGAGTATTAAGTCCGCCTTTCCACAAAACAAATCACTCCTTTGATTTATATCAGAAAGTGTTCAGTTCTTGTCCCTCTGATTGGTCTTTCCTCAGCATCTTTATCCAGAATTTCTAGAATTTTTGGTTTTCCATCATCTTTCCAGGTCCAGTTCTCATTCTCTAGTAACTTGACATTCCTAAATCAAAGGCTTAGTCATTTTGCAGCAGATAGATCTTGTTAGCTTTTCTATTTTATTGTTCTTTTAAATGTTTGAGAGCATGTCAGTGCCCTGTTTAGTGACAAGTTTATTGACAAATATTATGGGTAGATTGTGAAAGGCCTGTGTGGAGAAGTTGATACCATGTGACCAGGAGGTCACGGGTTCAAGCCGTGGAAACAGCCTCTTGCAGAAATGCAGGGTAAGGCTGCGTACAATAGATCCTTTTGGTCCGGGCCTTCCCCGGACCCGCGCATAGCGGGAGCTTAGTGTACCGGGCTGCCCTTTTTTTTGTGAAAGGCTCTTGTGGCTAGAAGAGTGAACGTGCTAATCTTTCGTATTGTGATTTTCGTACATAGATAAAGTTGGTAATCCACCATTCTTGGTCTTTTGGCTAAGATCAAATGAAGTTAGGAACTAATATGTTAAACTCTCTGAAGGTATTTGAGGATGAAAATGAGGCTGCAAGATACTGTGACTTGCTTCAGGGAGGTGGTCAAGGCTGTGAAGGTGTTGCTGAGATCGAAGCTTCATCAGTAAGAAAAAAGCTATAAAGTTACTTTCAGGAGTGAATTATTTTCTAGTCGTCCTAATTGTAATTTGACCCTTCTGTAGGTATTTGATCTATGCCGGAAGATGAGGGCGCTCGCAGTTCTATTTCGTCGGGGCAGAACACCTCCTTTGCCTGAAAGCCTCAAGCTAAACTTAAGGGCACGCAAGCGCTCGCTCGAAGACCAAGAGAACTTAATGTAACGTTCCTGCATTTGATTTACGCCGAGTACAGGTGATCTCAGTTGTCTAGTATGCAAAACATATTGGACACAGTAATATAATTCTTCTCTGTGCAGCTATTTTAGCCTGTATAGCTCTGACATGTATATAATATGTCACATAATTCTAATGATTAATGTATATAAAGGATTCTCAGATGCATGATGCATCCCCACTCAAATCATCAGTGCCAAACTTTAGTTTATATGCGATGTGACTAAACTTTAGTTTAGCAGTCCTCCTATTGCTACTTAAAACCCGTTTATAAGAATTGTTTGTCACTTGCATTGACAAGGCTGGGATTGGAGATCTATTCTCTTAGAAAAAATACTGTGTTATTTAAGCACATATCATACTTGATGGTAGTATTATGTCTAATTTCACTTAGTGGTCAGCAGTGGCGAAGCCAGAAATGTTTCCAAGGGTGTTCAAACTTGAAAGAAGTAGAAAAAAAATTTCTGACAAAGGGTGTTCAATATAGGTTTTTATATATCTAAAATCAATATTTTACTTATATACACAGTGTGATTTTTCATAATTTTTCGGCAACCCTTTACTAAAGGTGGCTTCACCCATGGTGGTCAGTGCAGTAGAGGGGGCGGGAGCAGTGTTAAAAAAAGCGGGCGCTTCCTCGCTTTAAGCGAGAAGCGAAGCGGAGCGGGAGGGGTATCGCTACCAGTGTTAAAAGCGGCTCATGTATGCATAAGCGACCGCTTCTTTAACCAAAGACCCAAAGTCTTTTTTCAATTAAAATACCCAAATCGCTATTTCTATTTTAGCACTTCTTTAACTTCTTTAGCAGCAAACTAGGGTTTTTCAAAGCAGCGATTTGTTCAAGCAAACTAGGGTTCTTCTTTTTCTTCAAGACTTCAACAGTACACTAGCAACTTAGTTTCAATAGGTATGTTTTCCTAGACTTCAACAGTACAACAGCAACTTAGTTTCAACAGGTATGTTTTCCAGATTTATTTTCATTCTTCCTCTTCCTCCTCTTCTTCTTCTTTTTCTTTTTCTTTCTAAACGTCCAAAAAACGTTGAAAATGCTGGCGAATTTTTTTCAGAAAAGTTCTGTCTAGTTTCTGCCAAGTTTCTGCCCAATTTTTTTTAAAAAATTTCACTTCACTTAAAAAAAGAGGGCACTTCGCTTCTCGCTTCTCGTGAAATGGGGGTTGTCGCTTTTCCTCGCTTCACGCTATTTTTAACACTGGTCGGGAGGAGAATCATGAGGTATTCAGTTCAAATTTCATTGGAGGTCTATTTGCTCAAGTATTGATGGACAGAGTCACATAGTGCGTGTGTTTTAATAAAAGGTAGCAAGTACGTGGTAGAATAATTGAGGTGTATGCAAGCTGACCAGAAATCACTATTATAAAAAAAAGTACTATATTATCATAATTATTATGATGGTCGTGTTCATCTTGGACTTGGCCATGCTCTCTAGGTCGGTCAAGCTCATGTGATGTCAGCGTAAATAAGGAATGCCCTTGTCAAAATAATAAAAATAATTATTTAAAACTTTAGAAGCTTAACACGCACGAAAGGTCTACTTATGGGTTAGCGTTGACTTCGATGATAAGGAGCATATTTACTTCCCTGTTTTTTTTTTTGTTTTCTTTTTTGGGAATTCCTAGTACATGATCCTGATTAGTCGGAAGACTTGCACCTTTCTGACTTGACTTTTGCATGTTCTGGGATCATTTCAAGCAAATTGAACGAGTCTTGAAATGGGAAATCGACTGGAACAAGAAGATTCGTCATAAAGAGCAGCCAATAAATTTTTGATTAATACCTTGCCATTAACAACGACAACTCATCATTTTCTAATTTGGATAAGATCCAACATAAGTATGGATATCATAATGAAATCAGCTGTCAACATAAAGTACATTTTCAAGCGAAATTAGATAGGATCGTCTACCAAGGAGGCCAAGCAATGGAATCTATCTTTTCGAAAAAGTTGAACATTGTAAAGTCCACTCTTTTAGGATAAAGCAACTTTAAAACAATTTTACGATGAATTAACGGATGAAATGATAAATATATAGAAGTGATATTGGTAGAACGAGTCGTCGTCCTGATCATAATCATAACAACTATAATTACATTTATTGGTCCCATCACTCATGTCCTCTTCTTTGCCATTTTACTATTTTAGTTTATTTTCTTTACTTGAAATCAATAATAATTATTCTATGGTTTAATTGACCTTAAAAAATTAAACCTATACACAAAATAAATTTTGATTCAAATTTTAATGATCTTAATCAAATTATTTATTTGTTAGTTTAATTTAATTTTAGTCTATGTTGAAATGTCTTTTTGTTTTATATTAAATTTCGGATTTGGTTATATCTCGTTTTCACTAATTATTGGAATTATTTTAGTATTTATGAATTTTTTTATTCTCTTTTATTTAGAAATAACAACTTCTAACATAATAATAAGAAAAATTCTAGGTTTTATATGAATATCTTAGAGCTAGTACTTTTTTTAACTGAATTTCTTGAAGTAAAACTGTTAAATTAAATAGATAAATTGCTAAAAATAGAAACATACAACTTTTTGTATCTTTTTAAAATAATTTGTTAAAAACTGTAGAGCGCGACTTTAAGATGACTTTGTTTTGAGATTTTTTTTTTTCATAAAAAAAAAGTGATCAAACCTTATATGATTGTCATACCCTACACCGATTATACTAATACATATCGTTGTTGTTTTTTTTCCCTAAATCCACTTGTTTAAAATTCTGGGTCCGCCACTGTCTGATTCCTGCTTCAAATCAAACACCCCAATTAAAGAATTGAAATAGCAACTTAGAAATCAAGGTTTAATTTTTAAATTTTAAGTTGTTAGAAGTTAATAGTAACTTGATTGATTAGTTTAAATGCATACAAAATTGATATGAACACTATCATCGTCATAAAAAAAATTAAAAGAACAAGAGTGGTGGGGTCTCTATTAGATTAATTATAGTCTTTGTCACCATATTGGAGTTTACAAGGATGAAAATGCTAAGATCTAATCTTATTTCGAAAACGACATGGTTCTTCTTTTTTCGGCTAAACATATAGCCAAATGAGGTTGTTGTTTTTTTATATAAATTTAAACAAGAACAACTAAAAAGTAGAGAAAGAAGATATCATAGTTTTATTACTTGATATAAACCAACAAAAAGTTTGCAAGTTATGTATAATATAATAGTTACATGTATGTCGACATCAAGGGTTGTCGGTCGTATGTTGCTCGTTATTAAAGGCCACCGACGGTCTGTCGCCGGTGAGTGGTGGCGTTCTTACTTATTTTCACGTTCCATTGTCATAAAATATAGATTCAAGTATAATTTAACAATGTCCATTATTATTATTGTTGTTATTATTATTATTATTATTATTATTATTATTATTATTATTATTATTATTATGCTATCTTTATCCTATTTTTCAATTTTATTACTTTTGTTAGTTTTATTTTGCCGTCATTACTTTTCTGTTCTATAGTATTTTCAATCATAATTTTTTTATTCTTATATTTTCTAACTTGTTTTGAAAAATATTTTTCTGAAAGCGAAGGCCTATCGAAAACAGTCTCTCTACCTTATGGGCAGGGTTAAAATTTACGTACATCATACTTTTCCCAGACCCACTTACAAAAACACATTGAATATGTTATTGTTGTTGATAACTTAACAATGTCACGACCGAATTTGTAAACTAGTACTTCAAACCCCTACGTTCTAATTCTTAAGAACGTTACCTACGCAAAAAAATCCTGATAGAGGTGATAATAAGTAATTTTTATTATATCCCTATTACTTGATAGCAAAGTATTTATGCCTATACTAATGAAAGATAAATGTTTAATGGATTAATTGAGATGCACATAAATTTGAATCGTTGATATTTTAGAAACATGTTTTATACCTAGACGTGACATATTTCATTACAATTCAATAAAGTAATAAACTACTAAGACTTTGACTTGGTTTTATTACAATCTTCAATATTTTGAAAAAAAATATTAGTTCAATTGAATTTGGAAAAACATGTTGGCTTTGCTAAACAACAAGCTAAGTTGACAAATGTTCAAGATAAATCTGAATTACGATATATTATTAAAATATCTTAAAAAGCAATGCAACGCACAAAGTATTCCGTTAAGTTTGCTAACTTTACTAAGACTTTGATGGCTTGATTTTATTGCGGTCTTAAATATTTTGAAAAAATACTAGTTCAATTGTATTTGGAAAAACATGTTGGCCTTGATAAACGACAAGTTGACAACTTCTCTCTAAGTTTATAAAATATTCAAGATAAATCCAAACTATGACATATTATTAAAGTATCTTGAAGGGCAACCTACTGTATACAGTATCTCGCGTTCATGTAGAGTTCGGGAAAAAGCCAGTCCCCAAGGGGTGTGATGTAGACAATCTATCATAATGCAAGTATTAGTGACTGTTTTCACGACTCGAACTCGTGACCTAATAACACGAATATAACTTTATTGCTTCAAAGCTCCCTTTCATATTATTAAAGTATCTTTATCGATATTTAACATTAATCCTTTCTTTATATACTATGATTAA